GGTTTGTTAATAGTTGCTTTATGTACTTTGGTGCTTCTATGTTGGGTGCATAGATATTTATAAGTGTTATGTCTTCTTGGTGGAATGTCCCTTTGATCATTGTAAACTGCCCCTCTCTGTCTCTCTTTAACTGTCTTATCTTGAAGTCTATTTTGATACAAGTATGGCAACACCCACTGTCTTTTGTTTGCCATTAGCTTGGAGTATCATCTTCCATCCCTTCACTCTGAGCCTGTGTTTGTCATTGGAGCTGAGATGTGTTTCCTGGAGGAAGCATATTGTTGGGTCTTGTCCTTTAATCCATTTCACCACTCTGTGTCTTTTTACTGTAGAATTCCATCCATTTGCATTTAGAATGATTATTGATATAGGAGGGCTTAATGCTGCCATTTTATCACTCGTTTTCCAGTTCTCCTGCATTTCCTTTATTTCTCATCCTATGTCTTTCAGAAAGCCAATTTGGTTAGGTAGTTTTCTATGCTGATTTTCTTATTTTTCTCCTTGTTCATTATTTGTGTCTCTGTTCTACTTTTTTGTTTAGTGTTACCATGAGGTTTGTGTGCAAAATATCATAGATGAGATAGTACATTTTCTGATGACCTCTTATTTCCATAGGCTAAGCCAATTCAGTACCTTTCCTCTTCCCCTCCTAAGCTGTTTTTTGTCACATCTTATTCCATTTTGTATTGAGAGTTTGTGGTTAAACTGTCAAGATTATCTTTGTCTTTGGTGTTTTTATTCCCTCTATCTTTAATGTTTTACTTGAGTATTTGCTAGCCTTTCTGATGGATAGCTACAATTTTCTGATTTTGTCTACCTGTTTATCTCCTTACTCAGGACTTTGTAACCTCTTTCTTCTTTTTTTTTTTTTCAGGTATGAGGGCCTTCTTGAGCATTTATTATCAGAGGGGTCTTGTGGTGATGAACTCCCTTAGCTTTTGTTTATCTGGGACATTTTTATTTCAGCATGATATCTGAAGGAGTTTTCACTGGATAGATCATTCCTTGGCTGAAAGTTTTCCTCCTTCAAAGATTTGAATATATCATTCCGCTCTCTCCTAGACTGTGAGGTTTCCGCTGAGAAATCCGCTGAAAGCCTGATAGGGGTTCCTTTGTAAGTTATTTTCTTCTGCCTTGCTGCCCTTAGTATTTTTTTCTTTGTCCTTGACTTTTGTCAGCTTCACCACTATATGCCTTGCAGTAGGTCTCTTTACATTGATATAATTAGGAGATCTGTTTCCTTCTTTCCCCTGGATTTCCATTTGCTTCCCCTGGTTTGGGAAGTTCTCCACTATTATTTCTTTGAACAAGCATTCTGCTCCATTCTCCTTCTCTTCTCCCTTGGAATACCTATAATCCTTATGTTGCATTTTCTAATTGAGTCGGATATTTCTTGGAGACTTTCTTCATTTCATTTTAGTCTTAGTTCTCTCCTCCTCCATCTGAAGCATTTCTATATTTCTATCCTCAAAGTTGCTAATTCATTCTTCCGTGATATCAGCTCTATTTTTCAAGGAATCCATATTCTGCTTTATCTCATCCATCGTGTTTTTCATCTCCAATATTTCTGATTGGTTCTTCTTTATAGTTTCAATCTCTTTTGTGAAGTAGGTACTGAATTCATTGAACTGTCTATCTGTACTCATTTAGCACATTGAGTTTTTTTAACAATAGCTATTTTGAATTCTCTGTCACTTAGGTTATAGATTTCTGTGTCTTCAGGATTGACTTCTGGGTACTTGTCATTTCCCTTCCGGTATGGAGATTTAATGTATTTGTTCATACTGCTATATGGTGTGGATTTGTGCTTCTGCATTTTGGTAGTATTTGATTGCAACTTAGACCTGTTGCTGCTGAGTAGGGATCAAAAGCTGAATATTCTGAGCCTGCTGTGATCTGCAGGACAGTTCCCAGTTTTTGGGCAGGGGCACCAGGTGCTTTCTTTCTCCTGCATGATCTTGGGGGCTTCTCTCTCTGCCCTCACTATCTGCTCTCCTGGGGTGTTGGCTTGATGAAAACTCCCCGGTGATAGCTAGTCACCCCTGTGTGGGGATTTCCACCAGGCTTGAGGGACCTCAGAGATCTATGGTGTTCCCATGGAGGGCTGCCTCTCCCTCCTCCCTTTCCTCATGGAATCTGCATGCAATCCCTGGGTCACTACCCTTTGGGAAGGAAGAGAAGCTTTCTCTTGCCTCATTCCACTTCCTTGTTGGGGGTTGGGGGGTTCCAGTACCGCCACCTTTAGACATATGACTGTGTGGGGCTCTCAGAAGTCTTTTGGGTTGTGTGGATGTCCTCTGTTGGAACATGAGTGTCCTTTTTGTTGTATCTTAGAGTGAAGAGTTTACAGAGAGAGCTTACTCCACCAGAATGCTGATGTCACTACTTCTGTATTTCTAAATAATGTGATAATATGCTATTTTTTGGTTTTTCAAGTTTAGATGTTATCCATTATCTTTAGTCTTATACATCATCAGCCCCAAGCACATACTTCCTTTTCCTTACACTCCCCATATAGTTTATAACAATTTTCTTTTTCATATGGACGATAGACTAATATGGGCCCTTATTGTTACTATGTAATTATTGTTCATACTTGAGCCATGTAGTGTGCACTTTCTTTTCTTACGTGATTTCTTGTTTTCCCTGAAATTAATAATTTCTTTTATTTTGTATTTGCTTAGTTTTCTTTATACCTATCACTCATTTTTCTCTCATCTCACCAATAAAGGTAGACAATTTCTCTCAAAATGAGCAAACACATCAATGAATCTGTTGGTTCTGTTTTTCTCCCCTCATGGAGACTTCCCTCCTGAGGTGCTCCCTCTCTCTATTTCAGTCCTCCTAGGACTTCTCTTCCCCATCATTCTAATAATTCTGTTTGCCTTTCTCCTGGGTTTGGTTCCTATTTCCTGGATTCCTCTTGCTTGCTTTACTTTCTCATTTTGTTGGAGTGTGTCCTCCAGTAACTTACAGAGAAAGAGTGGATGGGAGTTAAATTTTTGAGACCACGAGTGTCTGAAAATGTCTTTATGTAGAATTATTAGAATTAATTGATCATTTGGCTAGGTTAGAATTCTAGATAGAAAGTAATTTCCCCCCTAAATGGCATGACTCTATTGCTTTCAGTGTTAGAAAGAAATCAGGTGCTATTTTTACCCCTACCTTTGCATTGACTATCCCCCCTCCCAGAAGTTTTTAAGATCTTTTTATCCCCTGTGTTCTGAAATTTCACAATGGTGTACATAATGTGCGACTCTCTTTATTCATTGTGCTGGGCACTCAGTGGCCCCTCCATATGGAAGCTCAGTCAATTATCATTGCATTCTGGGAAATTATTATCTTCTTTGATAATTTCCACACCTCCATTTTCTCTATTATCTCATCCTGGAATTCCTCTGGCTTGATCATCCATTTTCTCTCTCCTATTTTCTATTTCTTTGTTTTCTTCTTCAAATGCTGGGAGATTTTTCAACTTATTCTATTTGGGAATTTATTTCTGCTACAATAACTTAAATTTCCAGAGCTTCTTGTCTCTGAATGCTGTTTCTCTCCTCGCTGCTCCCTTTTTATTGGTACAAGATGAAGATGTAGTGTTCTGAAAAGTCTTCTCCAATTTCTGAAGGCTATTGATTCTTTTAAATTTTTGTTCCGATTTCTGAGTTAATTGTGTTTCCTTTTATCACCTTGTTTATTTTGGTTTTGCCTTTCATGTTGGAGGCTTTCCTCAAACATCTGGTGAACTTTGGCTATCTGTTGATTAATATGAGAGCGCTAAACTTTGGCTAAAGCTTTGTGTGCAAAGGCAGAGCTCATTGAATGGCAGACCAGTAGAGTTATCAGTTGTATATCAGCTGGGTACCACAAGGGACAAGTGCCACACTCTTTCAGAGAAGTTGAGGAAATTTCATAAAGATGGACAGAGAAGAGAGCATTAAAGAATAAGTAAGCAACAGAGGGAAGAAGCAAAGGGCAAGAGAGATGAGCAAAATCTGGGAAGAGTAGCAACGTGGAGAGGGTGACCTGTCCTCCTGCCCTCGGGTCTCCTGCTGAGGCCTCCCTTTGACCAAACCTAACCTGAGTGCAAGAAAGCCCATTGATGGAGTCCATACTGGTCAGCCTCCCAGGGCACTCAGCAGGATGGAGAATGTGAGGTGGGTCTAGAGACACACAAAAAATATTCAGGACAGGTATCCAACCAATTTGATGGAGGATCCTAAATGTCAGTAACTCAGCACAGTACCTGGCATATATCACAGGGCATTCAGTAAATATTTATAGAGTGGATAAAACTGGCAAGTATTGATCATATCATGAATGTCTTTTAATGCCATAAAAAGAAACTTCTGCAAATTTTAACCTTTTAAAAAAATATAGCATATGAGACCCAGCCCTGATGGCCTAGCTGTTAAAGTTTTGTGGGCTCCACTTTGGTGGCCCAGGTTTGGTTCCCAGGTGCAGAACCACACCATTTGTCCATCAATCACCATGTTGTGGCAGCGGCTCACATAGAAGAACTGGCAGAACTTACAGTGATACCCAAATATGCACTGCGGCTTTGAGGAGGAGGAAAACAAAAGAGGAAGATTGGCAACAGATGTTAGTGAAGGGTGAATCTTCCCCTGCAAAAAAAAAAAAAAAAGCACGTGAACCTCCTTTGAAAATAAAATTGTCCAAAGAACCTCAAAGTAAAATCTATAATGAAATAAAAGTAGAATTGCCCAGTTGAATCTTGGGTGGATGGTCTGGCACCCTGTTCACTTGGCCTCCTCCTTGCCTTCAGTCTCTCCCATTCTTCGTCTACCCCATGGATTCTGCAAAGGTACCTCTGAAGAGGCTTGGAGAAACCTAGTTTGAAAGCCACTGTTGCAAGCCGTGGGGATACCTCCTGAAGTGGTTACTCCAGCAGCTCTCCTCTGAATAACGGGACTTCCCGACCAACTTCTTTCAGTGAACATTGTTCTGATCCTTCCTGTATTTGTTCTTCTCCAATCCTGCAGGAGCTCAGGGTGGCTCTGTGGCCAGGGCCATTTTGGAGAGCAAAAAGTTTGCCGTGAGAGCACTGACGAGGGATGTGACTAAACCAAAGGCGCAGGCGCTCCGGGACCTGGGCATCGAGGTGATCAAAGGGGACCTAGATGATGAAGCATCCGTGGAAGCGGCCTTGAAGGGTACCTATGGGGCCTTCCTGGTGACCAACTTCTGGGAGCATTTCAGCAAAGAAAAGGAAGTATGTCAGGTGAGAACCACCTTTGAGCCCTTCCTCTCACCCTGCCTGGCTACTCTGTCCTTCCTGGAAGGGGCTCGGCTTCAGTCTGGGCAAAAATATAAGCCTCACTCCACAGCATCTCTCGAGAATTTATGAAGTGTATGGACTTGCACTTGTTAGAGGTGTCTTTGATTGTGAAGTCAGTGTTATGTGGCACTTGTCCCAATCTCAAGACCCTGGATATTTGAGGTGACCGTGTAATGGAGCCAGTGATTAGATTCTCTGATTCTGACCATTTGTTTATAGATGACATATGAGAGGGGGCAGCAAGCACACCCCACAAATCGAGGTTACTGTGAGAGAGAAACGGGAAGAAGAAAAATGTAGTGAGTGTATGTACATTCTGACAGAGAATTTTGGGATGAATTAGTAATGGCTACATAGAAAAGAACTAAACGGACAAGCAAATAAACCCACAATGATTAACTCCAGGGAAAAGGACAGTTTGTAGAAAAAGTAAATGTAACCATAGAATGTCACGTGGCTCAGCTTCAGCTGTGTGTAAGCGCTCATTGTTGATCTAGCCCAAAGGTATGATGTTGGGAAGATGGAAAAAAGAGAACGGTGTAGACGTGTGATGGTGATGGCGGTGGTGGGCTCTGTGTGTGTGAGAGTCAGAGAGAGAGAAGGAGAAATTGAGAGAGAGTGCTAAAGATGAGGGCTCATCGTTCATAGTAGGAATGTGGTGGATTCTATCTTCAACTGAAACAATCAATTATCAGTGGAAACAAGTTCTTTAGAAATAAAGCAGCAGGTAAAAGAGATGAAAGTGATCTCTGGAGAGCAGTTATTGCACGGGGCCCAGGGACCTTCTTTGTCATTATAAAATTGATTTCTTTCCTCCAGGACACTACTATATGAAAATCAAGTATATGTATAAATTAGACAAAACATGCAGATTAAATTTACCAAATGTAATGGATGGGATCAGCCTCTAGCAGAAATGGCACCATTCACAAAATTAGGAGCAGGATTGAACTGTTTCAGGAATGTCTGTTAAATTAATTATATCGCTTACAGCTGGTTTTTTAGTGAGAGGAAGGGCTTGTTTTAGGAACTCTGGTTCTAATTCTGATATTCACTCACTCTGAAACCTACGGGTCCAAGTCATTTCTCAGCGTCACTTTCTGTATCTACTAAACCAGATTAATTTAGGTCTTCTCTGCCTGGTACGTGAGATTTGTAAGGAAAAGAAAGAAGGAAACAGTGAAAAGAAAGAAGAAAGGAAAGAGAGAGAGAGAGAGAGAGATGAAGGTGCTTTTCGAAATTTGGAACTAAAAACACAAAAAAGAATATATGTATATATATGTGAGTTTGTGTGTATATATAATGTATTACACATATATGTATATGGAGGGTATGTATATATCCCTCCATTACGCCCTCAATATCCCAATGGTGTCCAGATATGGTCCATTATCAGAAAACATTACTATATACTTCTTTCTCAGGTATCCCTGAGCCTCATATATATATAAACGTGGCAGTTGATCACAAGGATACTGACAGCCTGGAGGAAGGAGCGAATGTCCCTGACTGTTCCCACCAGGCTGCCTCTCAGCTGCTGATGCGGTTCAGTGTTTTGACATAGTGGAGCCTCTGCTCACTCACACTTGTGGGCTCTCCTAGGATAACTTGAATATATTTTGATGCTGCAAGAGCTCCCTCTCCAAGGAGGACAATAAGAGAAGGAGGGTGTGGAGAGGCCCCAAGCACCTGCCCTCTAGTCTATATGCAAATCCAGCCGTCCATATAAAGATTTTGCCTTTGTCCCTTAGGGGAAGCTGGTGGCAGATGCTGCCAAGCGCCTGGGTGTGAAGCACGTGGTGTTCAGCGGCCTGGAGAATGTGAAGCGCCTGAGCGGCGGCAAGCTGGAGGTGCCGCACTTTGATGCAAAGGGAGAGGTGGAGGAGTATTTCTGGTCCATTGGTGTTCCCATGACCAGCGTCCGCGTGGCAGCTTACTTTGAAAACTTCCTCACCACGTGGAAGCCCGTGAAAGCCTCTGATGGAGATTACTACACCTTGGGTAAATGGAAAGTTGCCGTGAGAGTTAACCAGACACCTGCTGTCCTGCCTTCCCCTCCACCCTTTTTCCCTCCCTCCTTTCTTCAGTGGACACTATCATTTGAGCACCTACTATGTGCTTAGCTCTGTGCAAAGTGCTGAAAGGGTTACCACATTGTCCCAGACCTAACAGAAAAGTGGGTCTGGGCCTGGAAACAGAAGGGTTACATTTCCAGTCTTAACGTACTGACAGCTCTTTATATCAGTACAGTAGTTAGCTATGTGACCTCAAGCCTCAGTTTCCTTATGTCTGATCAGAAAGTTGGACAAGATGACTTTTAGTTCTAGCTGATCCATCTGACCTTTGAGGCAACAGGGAAAACATTCTGCTCTTGATGTGGGTCCCATGGTCGGAATCCCTAGAGGGTCCCTGACTCCCCGGGACAGGTTCCCAGCCTGCCTGCCTTCCATTGTTCTGGTTGGAAGACAGTAGTTTTAACAAGGACTCCTGGTAATTCCGATGCTGCCAGTCCACCGGCCAGCATTCCCCTACTCTTTGGGGACATTTTCTTTGCCCATAGTCCTAGGTGGCTATATGGAGTGGAGGGAATATGGGGTTATCAATGGCAATTCAGTCCTTCATCTGTGGCACAAAATTCAGACTCATCCAGGGGATAAGTAGTGGCAGTCAAAGTGGATCTGAGTTACAGCCCGGAGCACGTGCCATCCCTCACGGACGCCTTGGGTAATGGTTCAACAAATGACCAGATACATGTGTGAATGGGATCCATCTCTTGAACCCTCTTTCTTCCTGTGCTTCTGCCAGGTTTCAGAAACTGGCTCACCTGACATTTCCTGGGTCCTGAGCTAGGACGTGATAATCTGAGGACTAGATTGGCCCTGGATGAAGAGGTGGTGCCTTAACGTTCTGCTGGGACCCAGTCCCAGTTGGGGCCCCAAAGTCTGTGGAACTCGGCTTCAGGTATCCCTGAGCCTCATCTTCCACTACAGGAATAGCTCACATTTACGGAGCACTTACTGGGTGCCCAGCTCTTACAGATGAGCAAAGTGAGGGACAGATAAACTTTCCCAAGATCACTAAGAAGGCAGACTTGGGACTTGAACCCAGACCGTCTGTCCCCAGAACCACATTCTTTACCACTGTCCCATAGCTCCTTTAAACTCAGCCCAAGAAGCTCAACCCTCAAATAAAAACAGACCTCAAAGTCAGAACACACTTGACTCTGGGTTCTTCCAAAAGCTCCAACTGCTTTACACACATAAAATACAAGTATAATGTAATGTGAGGAATGAGCAGACATTTTGCCTAACAAGAAATTCAGGCAGGAAACTAATTTTGCTGCAAAAGACAGAATGATATTTAGTCCCTGGCTGCTAAGCCTGAAGTCACTCTAATACTGGATGGCAATTCAGAGCCCTTGATTCTTGTCCTGGCCTGTTGCTTTCTAGCTGTGAGGCACTGGGTAAGTCAGAAGACTTAGTTTCTTCATGTAAAAACTGAGTGCTGGGGCTAGATCATGTCCACACTGCATTCAAGCCCCAGGATGTGTGCATTCTGGGTATCTATAAGAGGCCGTGTCACACTGTAGGAGGCTCACAGGCTTGGGAGTAATGGATGAGGGTTTGAACCCATTTCTGCTGCTTGCTGGCTGAGTAACCTCGGAAAGCACCTGATATTCCTATGTCTCAAGGCTGTTTTGAGGATTAAACCAGACAATGTGTTTGTTGGTCTATTCATTGATTCATTGAGGGACTATTCATTGAGGGACTGCTATGTGCCAGTCACTTACTGGGGAATCAGTAATAAACAGCTCAAAACAGGCAAAGCTCTGCCCTCAAGAAGCTCATATTCTGGTGGAGGAGATAGATAATAGACAAAGAGATAAGGAAAAACCTTGTATGTTAGAAGGTGATGAGTGCCATAGTAAACAGGGCAAAGTGAGGGATACAAGGAGTGCCAGCAGTGAGGAGGTGGGGTGTGAAACTACAACAAGGCAATCGGGGGCCTCTTGGAGAAGGTGACATCCGAGCACCTTCTGATGGAGGTCGGTAGTGGGCTTTGTGGGTAATGAGGGGAAAAGAGTTTTGGGCAGAGAGAACAGCCAATGTGTCAGGAAGAGAGCAAGTTGGGTGGGAGGAGAAGTAACAGGTGAGGGCAGAGCTAACAGAGGGCCTGGTCCTCTGAGCCACTGGCTTTTTCTCTCAGAGACACAGAGAACCATTGGAGAATATGGGCAGAGATGACATAAGCTGACTTTAGTTTTTACAGAATCACTCTGACTTCTGTGTTGAAAACAGACTATAGAAGGGCAAGAGTGGAAACAAGGAGACCAATCTTGCAATAATCCAAGTCAAAGATGATGGTGGCTCGGACTAGGGTGGTAGCAGTGCAGTTGTTGAGAAATGGTCAGATTCTGGACACAGTGTGAATAGTGCTTCAGGAAAGATAGAATACGGAGGGTGAGAGAGGTATCATGGTGCCTCCAAGATTGTTGACTTGGGAAACTGGAGTGACAGAGTTGCCGTAACTAAGATGGGAAAATATGTTGGGGGAACAGGTTGAGGGTGGGGTATAGGAATTCATTTTGGGGTGCATTGAGTTTAAAACGTCTATTGAATGGTCAAGCAAGAATGTTGAGTAGGCAACTAGACATATGAGTCTGGAATTCAGCAGAGATGTCTGGGTCAGAGAGACGATTAATCATACTTGGCACAGAGAGATGCTTAGTAAATAGCTGCTCTTTCTTTCTGTTTTGTTTTTAAATCAAAACATGGGCATTATGGTGTTTTCTCAAACAAAATTTTACAACTGTGCAAAGACTGTGGCCACTCAGTGGTACATTGTGTTCCCATCCCTTTCATTTAAGTAGTTGATTAGTTCAGGATTGGTGGGACCTACTGGTATGTGATGTAATCAATAATTTTTATCTTTTTTTTTTTCACTAGCAATACCCATGGGGGACGTCCCGATGGATGGGATCTCTGTTGCTGATGTTGGAGCAGTCGTCTGTAGTATTTTTAATTCTCCAGAGGAGTTTGTTGGCAAGGCCGTGGGTCTCAGTGCAGAAGCGCTAACCATACAGCAATATGCTGATGTTTTGTCCAAGGTTTTGGGGAAAGATATCCGAGATGCAAAGGTGAGTTCTTAGGAGACATAAGTGTGATCACAAGAGGCCACTTAGGGTCACATCCCACTAATGTACAAATTCTGGCAGACTTTAGACATATTGAGGCAGGGTTGAGCTTAGGCTCAGAAGACATTGAAGAAGATTCCAATTCTACAAATCTATCTGCATCTGTGAGTGCATCTGAATCCCACCCTTATGGTTTTATTTCTTTGGCTTCATGTTAATCAGCTTGTTAAGGTAAAATTACTTTTGGGTGGAAAGAAGTTAGAATCAGGCGCCAGCCCAGTGGCATAGTGGTAAAGTTTGTGTGCTCCTTTGGTGGCCCAGAGTTTGCCAGATTGGATCCTGGGCATGGACTTACGCATCACTCATCAAGCCATTCTGTGACAGCATCCCACATAGAAGAACCAGAAGGACTTACAACTATGTACTGGGACTTTGGGGAGGAAAAAACTTTAAAAAAGAACTTTAGAATCTGAAGACCGAGGTACAATGTTTTCATATACACCATCCCAACTCTCCTCTCATGAGCACTCATTGCTGCTCACTCCAGTCAGCCAGAGCTCCCTGGGGGTGGGCAAGGCGCTCACCCACTCTGAACTTCAGCCTCCTCACTTGTAAAGTGGGACGATAGCATCTACCATGGGCTGTTCTTGTGAAAATTAGAATACAGTTAGAGGTCTTAGCATAGTTTTTGGCATGTGATATATATCAGGAATCTATTACATACCTAGTGCTATCTTTGCGGAGTGTACAACAGAGTTGAGGAGAAAGAGTTAATGCACACAGAGATCAGTACAACCCAGCACACTGTAGGTGCTTAATTGTGTTGTCTACACTGCTATAGGTGACCAGAGAAGGGTAGGAGAAGGCTTCATGGAAGAAGCAGCCTTGAGGTGTTTCTTGAGGGTGGGCAGGACTGTGTATAGGTAGAGAGAGTGAGGGGGCTGGCCTAGCTGAATTCTGGAATCAACATGAATGAACCAGAGGCAGTCTGGGGAAGCAAGCAAACCCTGGTCCTGCTCTTATCTATCTGTGGAATCTTGGCAGGTGACTTAAGCTCTCCAGCCTCAGTTTATTCATGTTAAAAAAGATTATTATACCCCTCATAGGACTGTCGTGAGGATGAAATGAGATATATATGGGAGGTGCCTGGCACTGGGTTTAGGACATAGTAAGCCCTCGATTACTGAACAGGCTGGAATGGCCTGGACTAGAGTGTGGTTAGGACAGACCTTTTAGAGAGAAGCGCAAGGAGCTGATGAGATTGAGCACTAGCAGCCATCTCTCCAAGCAAGTGTTGATAAGAGGAAGGAGAAAGAGGACAGGGTTTCTGAGAAGGAAGGTTTGTGTGGCCTCGGAGAGACAGCATCAGGGCTGAAAGGAGGACCCGTCCCTTCTCTCCAACTGTCAGGCAGTAAGTAATACAGCTCTGCCTTTCCTGTCTGCCGTGGTCCCATCTGTGAAATGAGGGTCTTCTTTGGATGATTTCCAAGGTCCGACCCAGTCCTAACATCTCTCCAGAGGAGAGGTGCCTTCTTCCTACAGGGTTCAAGCCTGCTTTTATAAATCAAGATTTATTGGAACTCAGCCACGCCACTGTTTATGTTAAGTCTGTGGCTGTTTTCATGAGACAATGATACAGTTGAGTAGTTGTGACAGAGACCACTCTATGGCCTGCAACGTCTAAAATATTTGTATCTAGGCTTTCAAGAAAAAAATTTGTCAACCCCTGTTCTAAAGTGTTTCCAAGAGTCAGGGATAGAAGGTGGTTTTTGTTTTTGTCTGTAAGTGTTGGTCCAGTCAGTCGTGAGGGGCTTCTGGATTCCCCAGTCAGCCTCAGGCCGTGGAGCTGTGTGGAGGCTGAGAGATCTTTTTTTGAAAACTATTATAGGGGTCAATCCCACCACAAAACCACATCTGGGGATCTCACTGAAAACCACACAAAATTTCATGGAGAAAAGAGGTTACTCCCAAACCCAAGAAGGCAGCCCCTCACTCAGAAGATGGACTTAGGAGAAGCTCTGCAAAGTCACTTGCACCTGGCTGCAAATTTACTTCTCAGAGATTGCCCCCTCTCCCAGGGCACTTGCATTTGGGTCTTACATTCATTTTGTCTTGTGGGGTTTGAACTCTGTAAGAAAGAAGGGGAGAAGGGTGAGGGAGTGGGGGCATGTGGTGTGTGTGAGTTCATCTCAGAGGACCGGGTGGACATTGTTTCGAATGACTCAGGACCATCCCAGCATCTCTCCATCATGTACCTGGTCCCTGACTATCCTTAGCTGTTTCACAATGCAGCAGCAACTTCTTTGGCTTCAAACGTTCTAGGGCATTAGACGCTGGGAGTTCTACAGAATGGTTAGTGCTGTTCTTGGTAGCTACTCTAAGTTGAAAGGACGCTGGCCCCTCCTCTAGAGGGGAAAAACTCTGAAGCAAATGCTACTCTGGGGAAGGAAGCAAGAGGCCACAAGGTGGCGCTCCAGCCTTGACGGTCTGCCTCCCCCATCTGGTCAGAAGGAGGCTGTTTGTTAATTCAGTGACCGCACGCGCCCCAGAACGAACTCCCAGCAGGAACCCCGGTCTGGCTGAAACTGTCTGTCCAGCCCCAAAAGGAACACGGTTCTCTCAAAGAATGAGACCCAACAGAACCAATCTCTTTCCTTCAAAATTCTGCAGAATAGAATCCCTGTGTTTCCTGAGGGATATCAGTTATCAGAGGACAGGATGGGAGAGAGATTCAAGGAGACAGACATTCTAGAAGTCACCCTCCATCCTCTCGTAGGTCTTGTATTTCCAGCCACACTTGAATTTAAAATTGTTTTCTAATTTCAAAAATCACAAATGCTCATTGTAGAAAACTCAGACAAGTTTAAAAAAGAAAATAAAAATCATGTAGTGCCATCTATCAGAGACAGCAACTGTTAAGATTTGGCACATTTTCTTCTCATCTTTTTACAGCATTATATATGTATTTTTATCAAAGTAAAATAACACTATATGTAGCAGTTTGTATCTGGCTTTTTCACTTAACACTTATTATGAGAATTTTCTGTTTTGTTAAATTTCTTCAAAAATGTTAATTTTAACAACTACATAGTATTCTTAGATGTACCACAATTTTTGTTACTATTCCTGTTTTTGGACATGTAGGTTGTTCTTCATTCTTTCTTATTATAAATGGTGTATGATAACCATCGTTTTATATAAGTTGTTTGTGTCTGTCACATTTTTCTAAGGCCAAGTGGAAAAGGGAGGTTAGAGTTTATCTCTGGGGGCTAAAGACAGATTACACTGGATCTGATAGCTAGAAATTGTCTTTGCTCATGCAGGTGGTGGAACTATTGATCTAGTTTTTGTCAGAGGGACTCAAGGGGTGGCTTTTGTGGAAGGTGCCAGAAGGTGGGTCAGTAGGTGTGTGATGGGCAGCGTTTGCTTGGGTCTGGCCCTGGCAGAGGCTGCGATGGTTGAAGTCAAGATGCTCATTTCTGAGGCCGGCCCCATGGCTGAGTGGTTAAATTCATGCACTCTGCTTCGGGGGCCCAGGGTTTTGCCAGTTTGAATTCTGGGTGTGGAGCTCGCACCGTTCATCAAGCCATGCTGAGGGAGCATCCCACAGAGCAGAGCCAGAAAGACCTATAACTAGAATATACAACTATGTACTGGGGGCCTTTGGGGAGAAGAAGAAGAAAAAAAACCGCTTAGCAACAGATGTTAGCTCAGGTGCCACTCTTTAAAGATAAAAAGATGCCCATTTCTAATCAAGGAGGGAAGTGATGATGGAAGGGACATCGGCCAGGAGGGAAGGATAGAGAGACCTGTCAGAGTGAGGGAGCCTCGACACCGTGTGGAGGCCAGATGGGTAGAATGTGTCAGAGGGCTGCTGAGGGAGTCCCATGAGGAAACGTATGTAAAAGCTGGTCAGATGAAGGGGGCACAGGTCCATAGTACCTTGTCCACGAGGCTTAGGGCCAGAAACCACCCAGCTTCCAGAATCGTTCAGCTTTGGATTGGTTCTGGCTACATGTGGTAGGTAACGTCCCCGCAGGGGCTGGGTCAGGAACCTGTAATCAAACACATCAATCTCTCTGCGGAACATGGATGCCTGTTTCCACTAGCTGGGATAATTAAAGACCACAACCAGCTTCACTTGAGTTCAGACCACATTATGCCATTAAATTAGTTCTGAAAAGTCAGTTTGCTGCCAAATTATTTATGAAAAAATCTTCAGAGTTCCTTAGGTTTTGGAGTTAGGCTAAAGAATTATGGACCTGTATCATCACTGAGATGAATAATTTATTTTCACACTATTTTGAATGAGGGTGCTAACATTTCCTGTGTTTTCACTTGTTCTTAAAAGATGACCCCGGAAGCGTATGAGAAGCTGGGAATTCCTGTAGGGAAGGAGATTGCCAACATGTGTCGTTTCTATCAAACGAGGCCAGACCGTGATGTCAAGCTCACCCACCGACTAAACCCCAAGGTCAAAAGCTTCAGCCAGTTTATCTCAGAGAACAAGGGGGCCTTCAAGGGCGTTTAAGCTGTTCGAACAGGCCCCTGACCACATAACCTCCTTCCTCCCTGATCCTCGTCCTCTTCCAGCACAACCTCTACGTTCACATGAGAACATGTTCGAATGCAATGGTTTGTGACCCCAGAGCCTTCCTGGCAATTGTCTCTTCGGCAGGAAGCACTGCGGTGGTGACATGACACACATGTCACTTTCCAGCTAGAGATGAGGGTGGGGCACCTGTTTGTTAAGTGAGAAGCCCCAAACCTGTCACCTTTCGTAGCTCTCTCTCCCCAGAAGCCAACCTCAGAAAGCTCTGGCCCGAGGAACTTGGAGCTTCCTCCCTCACATGGATGGTGGGCCACTCAGCTGCGAAAGTGACCTTGAGCCCTGGCTCAGAAACTCCACTAGGCAGCTCCAGTGTCCTCGGGTGCATTGCCACATTCTCAGGGAACTTTTCTGTAATTTTAATTTCTTAAAGTAAAAATCTTTGCAGTGGACTTTCTGGGGAACGTGGTGTTCAATGAACCAGCACAAGTATTGGAAACTCTAAAGTCAGTTTGGCTTCAAGGTTGGAAGTTTGTTCTCTGCTTCGTTCATTCCATCATCAATTGACTCATCACTCAGTTATTCATCAAGCCTTCTTTTATCCACTCCACAAACTTGGTCTTTAGCACCAGCACCAATGATGCATTTGTGGACTTCTCTCCCCTCCTGTTTTCTTGCTGGAGTGGTCCACTCTCCAAAGGCCGCCATGGCTCATTACAGATTGTGGTTGGGTCTGTGTCATGTCAGGGCAAGAGGGCCATGTAACCATGTAGCTACAAGTGAAACCCAGAGGCTCTGCAGTGGCTGAAGGCCAGGTGCTGAGGCAAGGGCTGGCTAAAGGTGGAGAAGTGGAAAGAGGAGGGGACGGAGAGCCCCATTGTCTCTTTCTTTGTGTGTCTCTGACTCAGCAGTTTCCATACCGTGTTGTAATTGTCTGACTTACTGTGCTCCTCTTAGCTGTGAGAGACTTGCACTCTTCTGTATCCTGGTGCCTGGTCCCTGATAGGTGATCAATAAATGTTGATTGACTAAATGAGTGAGTGGAGTTAATTGATCACATCATTATAGGAAAAGGGGAATAAACAGGTGCATAGGTTGGAGAGTGGTAAGAACCAGCCACTGATACCTGAAGGGTGAGAGGTTGTCCACTTCTTGGACAGGAGGTGGGCCCCACTGCTCTGAGGCAGGCAGTGTACAGCGCTGGGAGCAGAAGAGCAAAGAGGGGATGGTGGTGCCAGTGTGAGGGGACAAAGTGGCCTAGGATCTTCCTCATAGGAGGAACCTTGGCAATTCCAAACATAGCCTTTTTGGTCTCTTAAGACATCCAGGTAAGTCTTTGTTGAATGAATGAGGTTGAAGTTATTGCAGACAAATGCTGATTCTTGGAGAAATCACAGTCACGGTGCATTTGAGCACCACTCTCCTCTTCACAGTGCTCTCTCCTCATCCGCTGAGCAATCAACTCGATGCAGCTCAAGCTCTCAACTCTGAGAGACAAGTCTGGATAATTTGTAAAAAGGGAAAAGAAAACCAAAACCCTAAACTGAAAATAAGTGGTTTATTACTCATCCAAGCAGACCAGGCAGGAAGAATGGCTGCCTTTTCCTAAATAAACCTCAGCATCCACGAACTGGAGAGTGTCTTCAGGCCAGCAGGTCCCCTGACCCCTTGTGTGTTCACTGGGGTGCCAGGTTGGTTCTTTCAGCCTTTGAGGCAAGGTGGGGGTAGCTCTGTGCCAGCCCCGCCATTGTTCCTGGACAGCATGAGGAACCCTTTCTGGATTTAGAAGCAAACTCTACAGTGGCCAATCTGAAATGAGACTGTGCCTTTTAGGGGCCTGGTTTGCATCCCCATCTCACACAACCAACGACAGGAAAGACTGAAAGTTAGTCTCAAACACTTAATTACTTGTTGACAGTGGACAAGGGACGCCACCCCCAGCTTCTCCTCTCCCTCCAACCGTCTCCAAGCTGAGGGAGAGAAATCTTCCCTCGGGAGTTGCTCAGAGGTGAGAGAAGCCCAGAAGGTGCAAATGGGGCTGCACACCCTGCAGTGAAGAAGCCACCCTCTGCCATCTTGGGGATGGGTTGGAGGTGATGGAACAGAAATGATGCAGAAGGAAACATCTCTCTGTGGTTCTAGAAATGTTCTTAGAAACCCAAGGTATGAAGTCTGATAATGCCGGATGTGAGTCCTGCCTCGGCCAATGACTAGTTGTGTGAATTTGGCCAAGTCTCTCGACTCCTCTGGGCTTCAGATTCCCCATCCTCATAAGGGGCTGCTGGGCGGACTAAAGGATTGAAAGTGTCAGAAGCACTTTGGACGATCTTTGGCTGATAGCAGGTGCTCAATAAACAGTAGCCGTAGTTATTACTGAGAGTAATTCCTGCCCTGGCTCCTTCATACAGCACCCGAGGTCTGAGTTGCCCACGGGCTGTTCCCGGTCCCCCTCTGACCTGCCCCTGACTAGTGGGACTGTGGGTTCATCGTGCCCTGAGGGCCCTTTGTCAGGGGCTCCTCTCGGCCCAGCTCCCTTAGCCGCCACTAGATGGCAGGATGAGTCTGGCATCAGAAAGTTGCTCCAAACCTTGTCCCAAGTGGGTTTCTCCAGCGGCTTTCTTTGGGAAGGAGGCTCCAGGACAGATAGATGGTGTGTATTACAGCCCTTCAGTCTGTCTCTTTCAGGCTCTGTTTGTCACCCTCCAAGGTCTTTTCAACAGACAGGTGCTGGGCACCTTCCCTGGTTCTTGCCCTGTGGTATTAAGATCCTTCTCTGTCCCCGATTTGGGATGAAGGAAAGGAAGGGAATAGCCAAGGTTTTATCCAAAGGCTCCAGCGCCGGCCCGACCCCCCGTAAGGAGGGCCCCGGGCGCCCCAGGGGCGCAGAGCGCTGCTCTCCAGCCCGGAGCAAGGGGGCCGAGCCGGGGTGCGCGCTGCCGCAGCTGACCGCTCCACAGCATCCTCTCCCACCAGGGGACCCTTCCAACTCTGAAGTCCCACCACGACTGCACTAGGGGCAGAGACAATTCCCCAAAGGAAGTCGGGGCCCTGTGAGGAAAAGGCAGTGCCTGCTGGGCAGCCCCGAAACAAGCACCGTGCCCTCTGCAGAGCGGCTGTTCCCGGGCGGAAGTGAAGGGCGGGCACTCAGAGCAGGAGTTTAAAAACGCCCCAGAGCGTGAGTTGTTACAACGTTTCTGAAGGGCCGCTCAGCTGACTGTGGCGAGAGGATTAAGAATGTGCACACCGTTTGACTTGGCCATACTACTTCTAGGAAGCTATTGCAAGTAAATAAACAAATATAAATTAGAACAAAAATTCCAGGATTTCATATGGAAGTGTTGTTTATGAGAGTAAAAAATGGAAATAAGCTAAATGTCCCGCATTAAAGGAATGGATAGTTAAATCATTGAATAGTTTTAAAATTCCCTTAAATTTTAAGTTCTTTAAAACCAGCATTTGTAAAGAATTTTTACTGAAAAGAGCTTATTGCGTTTTGAGGGAAAATGTTGGCTATAAAATAACATTGTATTTAGGTTAATCCCAACTGTAAGGTACATATGTATATAGTAACATATCGGGAGGAAAAACACCAAAATGTTAATAGTAGTTTTCATTGAATTTAGAGAATTTGATTAATCTCTATTTTCTGCTTTTAAATTCCCCCTTCCCCCCAAATAAAAATATGTAACTTTTATATTGAAATTTTATGTGAAACAAGTTATTTTAGAAGTGTAATACCTATCATCGATTGTTCTAATTCTTCCTTATATTACGGTCAATATACTAACTGTTATTTATGAGTCTTTACTACGTACCAGCCACTATGCTAGGAGCTGTATATCCGTACTTTCGCTCAATCCTTGTACCCACATTCTAGTAAGATTATCTCCTCATTTTACAGATAAAGAGTTTCTGTAATTTGTCTGAAGTCACACAGCGCCAGGGTTTAAATTCGAGTCCCGGTGTCTCTAAAGTCCGTGAGCTTTCCACCAGGTCAGAAGTGGGATCAGTGCAGTTCTCAAGTTATGAAAGGACTGGTCATCCAATTCATTCAGAATTCAGTTGTTTGGAATTTGGGACACGTTTTCTTTTAGAAACACTGTGGAAATTCTAACCTGCAACACTGTCTAAAGATCAACCTGCCCAAAGCTGGTGAAACCACATCGGCTGCTATGCTGGGAAACCGCAGCTTTCAATTAAATGTTTCTTGCTAACCCTTTCTCCCAGATGCACACACAAGAGAATAATGAAACTAATTCAGGGGTGAGGACAAGGCAGTGCGTGGGGAAGTCATGAGGGGGCTTATCCCCAAAGCCCTGTTGGGTACAGAAAGAGAAAGCGGAGCCGTGGTGTGCCTCGGGGTACAGGCAGAAGCCATGGGGCCTGAGTGGCTGATTAGGAGGGATACGTCCAAGATAGGGGTGGTGGGGCGGAGTGTGGAAGCCCTGCATGGAAACCCAGGGAGCCCCCAGGAGGTCTTGGGGGTGTCCAGTCCAAAGGTTTCCAGAGCCAGGCAGGTACATGAATGAAGCAGGCCAGAGGTGACCCAATAGGGCATGGTGGGGACTGTGGCGATGAGGGAGTATGTGACCCACCTACGGGCATTGAAAATAAATGTTAACAGAAACACAGTGACAACCAAACATAGCTTGCCTCAGCTGTTCCTAAAAAAGGTAGTTTTCTAGCCCCAGGGTTTAACAGACAAAACTTGTGATTTTGTGGAAGGGTTGGGCCCTGGTGGGGCTGTCAGGACTATGGGTGCAGGGCTTGATCATGAGGGGAAGGAGCAAGAAGCCCAGTCCAGGGTCCCCTGTGTTGGGAGTGGGGAAAATGTTGGCGAGGCCTGTGCGGTTGAGGAGCTCATTGGCAGCAGCTACTCCTATTTGTATGTCATTACAAGGAAGCAGCCCCTCCTTGCTTCTAGCAGAGTTTAGCTGTGGTGGAAAAGAAGAAAGGAACCGACATTTGTTGAAAACTGCACTGTTTCATAGTCACCCTTTCATTTAAGCCTTGTTATCTCCCTGAACAGTTGGTATGTGTGGCAAAGACTAGCTAGATGCTCACCAAACCTGTCTCCTCCGTGTCCTGGGCACACTGCCGGACCTCATTTCTAAGTGTTCTTTGCAATTCATTCCAGCCATGTAATTGTGATATAGATACTAGTGTGTGAGTGGAAGTGATATTTCTAGACCTAGCATGAAACCCTTCCACTGGCCACACTCCTCCATCAGATTCTCCTATCTTTGGATGGATTTCTACAAGGCTTATGACCTTGAAAGCCATGTTTAGAAAACGGCGAAGCCAGACAAATAAAGGAGCCAAGAGATGTACATCACATCTTGGAGGAGAGCGGCCCACAGATTAAGAACACCTGCTTTGGACTTCACACAAATCAGAAATAAACTTCCATAATAGCAGAGCCAGTTAATCTTCTGTGCGTGTGTTTACTACAGCAGCTGGCATTGCTTTAACCAACATGGTGTTTATGCCCATCATATACAAAATCAAACTTAGTCTTAGAGAGGTCAAGTAATTTGCCCCAAGGTCACACAACTGAAAAGGAATGAATTTGAACTCAGGTTTGTCCAGCTTACCATCCCAGGTTCTTTGTATAACAACCTCCTGCTTCCAAGGTAGCCCACAACTCCCGGAGCACCTAATTTGTGATTCTTCATCCTATTGTAAGCAACCCCACCCCCCACACCCCCAATCCGATGCACACCTCCAAAATGCAAGCAACTGGCAGGAAAGAGTCATCAAGCTCTTGCTCTCTATCAGGTTGCAGAGGGGGAAATGCACAGGCAGCTCCCAGGTCTTTCTCCTGAGAGTCAAGCAGGGCTGCTGGCAGAGCAGAGTGGGGCCGGACAATGCAGGGGAAGTTTTCCGATTCCCAGTGGCACTCTTGCTTGGTCCCCTTGTTCATTAACATCTGTGTCCTTCCAATTTGGGCTCTGGCTTGAACTCTGTGAACTGCTCAAAGAGGCTCTTGCTACCTCTTTGTTCAAACAGACAATGGCTGCAATAACAAAGAGGAAA